CATCAATAGGATACATGCCTGTGTTTTGGACCCTCTCCAGATTGCCTCCAGGTATTCTTTTGCCTGTTATCCAGTAGAATTGCACCTAGAGTCTTTCCGTTTTAAACTGTACCAAAAAGGGCTTTCACCACCCAGTTGGTCTAGATTGTGAGGAAATAACTGAATGTTCTTGGAAAACCTGAATCAGGTAATTTATTATTATAATTTTTTTTTTTTTTACATTTTTAGTATTTTATTTATTAATTAATTTGTTTTAATAAATAGTGTTTTTTCTATTATTAATTTTATTTTAAATAATGTATTATTATTTTATCCATATTTATATTTTATTTTTCCATAATTTCATGGAAAGTTAGTCGAAATTAATACAAAGTAATGGAAATTAAAATTAAAGTTCTGTATTCAGCATTCTGTTTTAGGATTTCTTTAGCTGGAAATGGCCTTTTGTTTTGTCTGTAAAATAATAATTCATTGAAAAATGCAAGGAATTCATTGGTCAGAATGTATAGGATTTTTTTTTGAATAATATTATTAATATGAATAAAATTACTACTATTCACTTGTCCCGTGAGGTCATCTTCATCAGTGTTTGAGTTTCTGTTGATATTTGTTGTCTAACTTTCAATGGCTAATAGCTTGGCTTCTTTGTTTAGGGAGAGGTTTTATTCCAACTCCAGACTTGTTTGATGACACCCAGGCTGCACGTACCAACCTTTATTTCATTTCCCACAATGCTTCATTTATTTATGGCTCACCTGGATCGCTCTCGAGTAAACATGACACTCTTCATGAGCCCGAGCTGATGTAAGGAGGAAGGTGTGGCTGTTCACACCTCCATTTATTTTAACCCCATCAGCCATGTGCACCACATCACTCACCTATAGTGAGACTTTTTATACGTGCAAACTTGCACACACGTGAGGGGTTGGGGGAAATCCAGTTTCTGAAAATGTTTTTTTTTTTTCAGAAACAATTTTTTTTTTTTTTTACATTTTTTGTATTTTATTTATTAATTAATTTGTTTTAATAAATAGTGTTTTTTCTATTATTAATTTTATTTTAAATAATGTATTATTATTTTAATCCATATTTATATTTTATTTTTCCATAATTTCATGGAAAGTTAGTCGAAATTAATACAAAGTAATGGAAATTAAAATTAAAGTTCTGTATTCAGCATTCTGTTTTAGGATTTCTTTAGCTGGAAATGGCCTTTTGTTTTGTCTGTAAAATAATAATTCATTGAAAAATGCAAGGAATTCATTGGTCAGAATGTATAGGATTTTTTTTTGAATAATATTATTAATATGAATAAAATTACTACTATTCACTTGTCCCGTGAAGTCACCTTCATCAGTGTTTGAGTTTCTGTTGATATTTGTTGTCTAACTTTCAATGGCTAATAGCTTGGCTTCTTTGTTTAGGGAGAGGTTTTATTCCAACTCCAGACTTGTTTGATGACACCCAGGCTGCACGTACCAACCTTTATTTCATTTCCCACAATGCTTCATTTATTTATGGCTCACCTGGATCGCTCTCGAGTAAACATGACACTCTTCATGAGCCCGAGCTGATGTAAGGAGGAAGGTGTGGCCGTTCACACCTCCATTTATTTTAACCCCATCAGCCATGTGCACCACATC